CATCCAGGAAGGGCGAGGACCAGGAAAAACGGAAATGGTTTCCTTTAATTTCGTCATGAAATCCATAAAAAACCCCGAGAACCTCCAGTCAATCCTTTGGGCCGGGGCCAAATCCTCTCCTGGGTTTGTTCCAGGGGAAGATCAGCGGGGATTTGAACCTTTCCTACCATCTCCGTCATCAGCGGGCCCAGATTTCCTTTTCCAGGACCCTTTTCTTCATCACTGAGCCAAAATTTCCTTTTCCAGGACTCTTTTATTCATTATTAAGCCTAAATTGCTTTTTCCAGGACCCTTTTATTCGTCATCAAGTTAAGTTTTCTTTTTCCAGGATGATTTTCTTCGTCACTGAGCTGAAATTTCCTTTTCTGGGGCTCTTATATTCATTATCAAACCTAAATTACTTTTTCCAGGACCCTTTTCTTCATCATTGGGCCCAGATTTCCTTTTCCAGGACCCTTTTCTTCGTCACTGAGCCAAAATTTCCTTTTCCAAGATTTTCTTCTTCGTCACTGAGCCAAAATTTCCTTTTCCGGGACCATTTTCTTTGCCATTGAGCCCAGATTTCCTTTTCTAGGACTCTTTTATTCATCACTGAGCTCAAATTTCCTTTTCCAGGACCCTTTTCTTCATCATCAAGCCAAGATTTCTTTTTCCAGGACCCTTTTCTTCGTCACTGAGCCTAAATTTCCTTTTCCAAGACTCTTTCATTCATTATTAAGCCTAAATTGCTTTTTCCAGAATTTATCAAACATCCAGAGGAGATAAGAGAGCTCTGGTGCTCAATCTGAGGAAAATCCAATATTTTTATTCAACAGCCCCAAAAAAGACTCAGCCACAAAAAACGCTGAAATTGGATATTTTATTTTATTTCATTGCAGAAGAGAATCCGACGTGCGCCTCGTTAACGCCGGGCGTTTTTAATTATAAAAATAAGCAAAGAAAATAACTCGCCTCTCTCTCCTTCCAAAGAGCCTTTACACGAAATCACCGAGTTTTACAAACATTTCGATAATAAATAAGGACATATTCCAGATATGCTCATTGTTTATTCCAGTATTCAGAAAAAAAAAGAAAAATAAAAAAAAATAAAAAAAAAATTCAAAAAAATCCCAGGACCACCTCTGTCAGGATGGGAGACAGTGAACATCTTCCAACATGAGCTATGACAGCAACCGTGTCCATGAACCTTCACCACAAGAGTTCAATTAGGATGTTTTCAGGAAAGGTGGGAAATAGTTTGATTACAGAAAGAACAATAAATTATTCCAAAAACCCTTGAACATATATCCTAAAGTCACCCTGGTTTCCAGAACAAAGACCTAGTTTAAAACTCACAAGCTCAGACTGAGGCAGTGTCCTCAGAAGGCGCTGCTGATGATAAAGTTCAGTTCCCACAAGTCCCATTTGGTCAATTTGTGCAGCTGCAGCAGGAAAGATGGGATTGAMAAATCCTGACATTTAATTCAAGTATTATTTTGTTACTGATAATACACAAGTCTTTAATTTATTTGTTGTTGTGAAAA